TGGAAAAGGACAAATGTTATTTCTAGTAAAACGGATTACCAATAATAATAATAAAGATCATCTTGTTAATCAGTTTAATCGTAATAACGGATCATATAGTTCATATAATAATAATAATAATAATAACAACTACAATAATAAAATTATCGAAAATTTTAATAAATTAGGGTACAAATTTATTTCACCTCGAATAATTGCACCTGAAATGGCCAATCGTATTGGAATTTCTTCAAATCAGATGCAAGATTATTTAGAAAAAATGTTTATTTATTGTGTTTATACTGGAGCATTTATTACTAGAAATGATAAATATATTATTAATGACAAAAGAAATATTGATGATGATGATGATGATGATGATAATATGAATATTTTTAGCGGAGAACAAATTTTAGTAATGGAAAAATTTCGTCATCAAATTCCTATTTCCAAATTACCTACAATTAATAATATCGATAGAATCGAGAAAGAATATATTAAACGTAAATCTGGAACAACTGTTGAAGATTTATTATCACAATTTGGACATACATTTTTCGGTTCAACCCTTTTAAATGTTTATTATGGAAGAGAAAGAGATGATGAAGCAGGAAGTAACACCAATCTTAATCACACTAATAGTGAGGATTATAATAATAACAACAATAATAATAATAATAGTAATAATAGTAGTAGTAATATTAATGATGATAATACAACTGATCTTTTAGATGGATTTCGATATGATTTGGCACAGTCAATACATCATTTAATTCGTACTATTGATAACGATTTATTGTATTCTGAAGCAAGATTAGTTCCTTTGATATTTGATATTCCTATTAATGATGAAACTGATAAAAATGCTGAAAAAATAAAGAAGGGTAAAAGAATAAAGAAGAAGATAAAGAAGGATAAAAGAATAAAGAAAAACGATAATGATTATGATGATATTAATAATATTCAAGCATCAACATCACAACAATCGCCATCATTATCATCATCACCATCATCACCATCATCACCATCGTCATCATCATATTATTTAAATCTAG